GTACAAGAAGGGAGACATCCACAACATCAGCAACTATCGTCCAGTCTGCCTGTTGTCCAACGTCTACAGGTTATTTACTTGAGTCATCCTGAATAGGATTGGCAGAATACTAGATGAAGGACAACCATATGAGCAAGCTGGGTTCCGAAAAGGATTTAACACGATTAACCATATTCACTCAGTGACCAAGCTTATTGAGTTTTCACAAGAGTTCAAGATGCCACTTTGTCTAACATTCATGGATTTAAAGAAGGCCTTTGATTCTCTTGAGACTGAAGTAGTCATCGAAGCCCTAGCCAAACAGGGCATTCAAACTCAGTACATCAAGATCCTCCATGAGCTGTATTACGGATTCACCACCAGGATCTCACCATTCTACAAGGAAGTGATCATTGATGTAAAGAGAGGGGTTCAGCAGGGCGATACCATTTCACCGAAACTCTTCAATGCCACCCTCGAGATTGTCATGCGACAGCTGGAATGCAAAAGAATGGGAGTGGCAACTATACCACCTCCGCTTCACTGATGACATCGTTCTAATAACACCAAACATCAGCCAAGTGGCACAAATGCTGGCTGACTTTGACTATGAGTGTGGAAAGGTCGGACTGCATCTGAATCTCAGGAAGACAATGTTCATGAGAAATGAACTAGTCCCTGACGTTCCATTTGCTCTCAATGGAACGAACATATCTGAGTGAAGCAGTTATGTGTACCTAGGTCAAAAAGTCAGCGTGACAAACAACCTGGCACCTGAGCTGTGCAGCAGGAAGAGAGCCATGTGGAATGCTTTCAAGAGCATTGTTGTTAAGAGGACGAAGAAACTCCGGTTCCGGGCACATCTTTTCGACTCTACCATTCTTCCTGCACTAACATACACCTCAGAGACCTGGGCCCTAGGAAAACAGGATGAGAATGCTATTTGGGTCTCCCAAAGAGGAATCGAAAGAGCTATGCTTGAGTATCACGTTTCACTCAAGTGAGAGAAGGAATCTGGAGTTCTGACCTTGGGTCCATGATCAAGGATCAGGGATGCTGTTTTATTTGCCAACGCGTTGAAAATCAGATAGGGGGCCGGAGAGATAGCACAGCAGGTAGGGTGTCTGCCTTGCACGTGGCCAACCTGGGTTCGATTCCCAGTATCCCATATGGTCCCCTGAGCACTGCCAGGAGTAACTCCTGAGTGCAGAGCCAGGAGTAACCCCTGTGTATCGCCGGGTGTGACCCAAAAAGCAAAAAAAAAAAAAAAAATCAAATGGGCCAGACACATAATGTGATTTGGAGATGATTGCTGAACTAGAGCCATTACTGACTGGATTCCACGGGATGTCAAAAGAACGCCTGGCCGCCCACCTATGAGATGGTCAGACTTCTTCGTCAAGACCCTGAAGGAACGGTTTGATGCTTTTTGTGTTCTTGGAGCAAGCAGACGCCACTGGGCTACACTAGCACATGACAGGAACATATAGAGATGTTACTGGCGCCCACTCAAGCAAATCGATGAGCAACAGGATGACAAAGTGATACAAGTGATTATAAATAGGTGCTCTAAAGTAATTCAGTTGGTTTTAGAGGAGTGGGTTGGCTGGCTGACCTGGAGTATATATAAATCAGCACTGTCTATCACCTTGTTTTGTGAAAATAAACATATGTACATCTTGTATTAGTTGAATGCTTAACGCATTATCTTGGTATAAAGTATGCCTGTTACTTCAGGCCACTGTGGAACTTCTTGTAACCCCGTGCTGATTCTCCTCAGTGAAGCTATCAACCCAACATTGGGTGTTATTTGAACTGGGACTTGAAGGGAAAGGAAGCTAGTTGTTGGCACCGATTGCCTGGGGATACAAGGATCCACTCCTGGGCCAGGGAGATGACTCAAAAAGTTTGAGACATGCTTTGTTTGTGAGTTCCTCAGGTTCAGTCCTCCCCACCAAGTGTTCCTTCAGGACCACCAGGCAGAGCCAGATGTGGCTTAAAATTTCAAAACGAGGGGCTGGAATGATAGCACAGCAGGTAGGGCATTTGCCTTGCACGCAGCCGACCCAGGTTCTATTCCCAGCATCCCATATGGTCCCCTGAGCACCGCCAGGAGTAATTCCTGAGTGCAGAGCCAGGAGTAACCCCTGTGCATAGCCGGGTATGACCAAAAAAAGCAAAAAAAAAAAAATTCAAAACGAAACCAGAAAGAATCTATTCCCGTTTTGTCCTCAGGTATGAACAGAATGCTGAAGAAGAGGTTCACTTGACCTCTTAAAACTCACCCACAGGGACAGGAGAGGATAGAGCACTCGCCTTGCTCACAACCTATCCAGATTCTATCTCCAGCATCCTGTACAGTCCTTCCAGTCCTCCAGGGGTGATCCCTGGCCAGGAGTGAGCCCTGAGCATGGAGGGAAGAGTAAGCCCTAAGCACCACCAGTTGTTAGCACTGGATGCCTGGAGTGGTCCAAAAACAAAACAAAAGGAAAAAGTCAACCAGATGACAGTTAATTTATAATGAGGGAACTTCGGTGGTGATTTTTTGGTCCTCTCATCTAGAAACTCTCTAGCTTTTCATATACTGCGTTTATTGAAATAGCAATCCACAAGCTTTCAAGTGTGCACAAATCTAATGTGCTGTTCAAACTACGGATTCCCAGGCTCTGAGGTTCAGAACCTGCTTTCACACATCTTGGGGTGTGTTGGGTCGGAGAGATGGTCCAGCAGATAGGATGTTTGCCTTGCATGTGGCCGACCTGAGTTCGACCCCCGGCATCCCATATGGCCCCCTGAGCCCCGCCAGGAGTGGTTCCTGAGTGTAGAGCCAGGAGTAACCCCTAGCATCTCCAGGGGTGACCCAAAAGCCAAAAAATTAAAATAAATAAAATAGCTTTGGGTGTGGGCCTAGAACTCTACATTTGTCACAGTCACACAAGAAAACCTGCATTGTTTAGATCTGGAAGAGATGAGTGAATAGAGATTTAGGGGATTAAACAAATAATAGTGCGTGCATTAAAATATTTTAGATTATTCTGGTTGTCTCTTTATATTTAATGGTATTTTGGTGTTACTCCCTTCTTGTAGTATGTATGTATGTATATATATATAGAGAGAGAGAGACAGAGACAGAGACAGAGAAAGAGAGAGATATTTTGTGTTTGTTTTGTTTTTTGTTTTTAGGCCACACCTGGCAGTACTTATGGCTGACTCCTGGCTTGTGCTCAGAAATCACTCCTGGTAGTGCTTAAGGGATCATATGGGATATCAGGGATTGAATTCAGGTGGGCCACATGCAAGGCAAGCACCCTGCCTGCTGTATTAACACTCCAGCCCCCCAGGGCTATCCTTGTTTGAAACTTTCTTTTGGTTTCCTGGAGATAGCTCAAGGTGCTGAGTGCACAGTTTGCATGCAGGTTTGGTGCCCTAAACCCAGACCTGGGAATAGCCCATGAGCACTGTCAGGTATGGCCCCCAACCAAAACCAAACAAAAAAAGACAAAATGAAACATTCTTCCAATCTCCTTGTTTTAGACTGTTATTTTTCCCTGTCACAGCAGTGCCTGGCAAGCTACCTGTGGCGTATTCAATATGCCAAAAACAGTAACAATAATGGGTCTCATTCCTCTGACCCTGAAAGCGCCTCCAATACTCGTTGGGAAAGTCGAGTAAGGAGAGGCTGCTAAAACCTCAGGACTGGGACGAATGGAGACATTACTGGCGTCCGCTCGAGTAAATCGATGAACAACGGGATGACAGTGATACAGTGAATTTTCCCTGTGTTTCTCAGAATCTTTCCTTCACCCTCAGTACCCTGTTGTAGTTCAGACTTTGTGATCTCATGCCTGAGTGTAGCTTTTGCTGAGCAATAACACCTCACCCAAAAACACCATGCCTTAAAACCACCACCATTTCTTCAGGTCATGGTATTTGGGAGCTGGGCCCTGAGGGCAGCTCTCCCTGTCTGGCCTGTGGTCAGCTGGACAAGCTGCCCCACGCGGCCTCACCTCTCCTTACAGACAAGCCTGGGCTGCTTCCAGGGCTGGCAGAACATGTCCATGAACAGCGAGAGCCCAGCCCAGTATGTTTTTGTTTTTTTTTGTTGTTGTTATTTTTTGTTGTTGTGTGTGTTTTCGTTTTTGTTTTTGTGGCTTTTTGGGTCATACCCGGCAATGCTCAGGGGTTACTCCTGGCTCTGCACTCAGGAATTACTCCTGGTGGTGCTCTGGGAACATATGGGATGCTGGGAGTCAAATTCTAGTTGACTGTGTGCGAGGCAAATGCACTATCTCCTATACTATCACTCGGGGGGGGGGGGCACCCCCCCCAGCCCAGTGTTAAAGCACTCAGGCCTCCCTCTGCCACTCCTTTGCTTTTCTGCCACTGACAGGAAGTAATCAGGTAGCTACTCACATCCCGTGGGAGGAGGAATGCAGGCCATCTAAGCTGTCAGTCCTGCAAGCTTCTCTTGGCTGTCGGCAAAAGCCGCTCACTCCATCCTGCTCCCTATTTTAATACATTCCACCCCCTGCTCAGAGTCCCAGGGACCTCCTCAGCCCCACCTTGGCAGCTGTAAACTCCTTTGCCTGCCTTGGCTAAAAAAGAGAGCACCATTCAGGGAGACCTGCAGAGTCTGAGGGTCTGGGCGCAAGGCCCAGCTCTGTCCCCAGCCAGCTTCAACCTCTCCAGGCTCCTGTTTCTCCTGTGTCCAAAAAAAAAAAGTGGGTTTTGGGGTCCTACCGCCAGTGCTCAGGGGCTACTCCAGTCTCAGTACTCAGGAGTGGTACTGGGGGAATCACATGTGGTGCGGGGGATAGAATCAGAGTTACCCACATGCAAAGCAAGTGCTCTGGCTCCTGTGCCATCTCCCTGCCCACTTCCGCCCCCATAAGCCTGGGAGGAAGGGGATGGAGTTTGTAGCAGTGGGTGTTTCTGTGAACATTCTCCGATGACGGGGCCTTTGCTGAGCCCCAGAACTAAGCCCTCCGTGACCCCCGCTCTCCTCTGTTTGTTCCCTGCAGTTTCCATCCTTTTCCAGAAGTCATCACCATGACGCTGACCAAAGGCTCCTTCACCTACTCCAGTGGGGAGGAGTACCGGGGCGAATGGAAGGAGGGTGAGAGAACCCTAGGGGTGCCTGGGGCTGACCCCTTCGTTTGGTGAAGGACAGCTACGTGAGGACCTGTGAACCCACCTTACGAGTCTTCATTTCCAACTCCAGTCTGTACCGTGCCCTTGCCTTTCTTCAACTTTAGGATTATAAATAAAGGAATTCTCTTGCATGCGACTAATCCCAGTTCAGTCCCCGGCACTACATGGTCACATAAGCAGCACTGGGTGTGGTTCCCATCCCCCCCCCAAAAAAAAACCCAAAATTAATATAAAAGGGAATTTGGAGCTGCTATTTTTTCAATCAATCTCCAGAAATAAGTGAAAGTTTCCCATTTCTAAATTTAAGGTATTCGGGACGAGAGTGATAGTGCAGCAGGTAGGACGTTTGCCTTGTATGCGGCTGTCCCAGGTTCAATCCCCAACATCCCATATGGTCCCCCAAGCACCACCAGGAGTAATTCCTGAGTCAGAGCCAGGAGTAATCTCTGAGCATCGATGGGTGTGACCCAAAGAGCAAAATAGAATTAAACAAATTAAAAAAAAATTTTGAACCACAGTGAGATACATAGTTACAAAGTTGTTCATGATTGGGTTTCAGTCATAGAATGTTCCAACACCTTTCTCTTTACCCGTGTTCAAAATAAAATAATTTAAGGTGTCTTACCATTCTTTTACCCTTTGGTGGGTTATTTGCGAGATTTTTTTAAAAATAAGTGCTAATGTGCCCATACAAGTAAAATCATTTTCTTGTTGTTTGTTTTGGGAACACCTGGTGGTGCTCAGGGCTTACTCCTGGCACTATACTAAGAGTTTACTCCTGGTAGTGCTTGAGGGACCATATGCAGTGGTGCGGATCAAACCAGTGTCAGCCATAATCAAGGCAAGAGCCTAATGCCTGTACTCTCTCCAGTCCAAAATGAATATCTCTCAGTGGCCATGAATTACAAAATATAGGACTGGAGAGGGTAGCTCGATGGGTTAAGTACTTGCTTTGAATGCAAGAGGCCTCATTCAATCCCTGACACCTCATTTTTTGACAAGCACCACACTGGAAACAACTCCCAAGAATTGCTGATCCTGACCCCAAAACACATGACTTGATTTCAGTGAATTTTTAAAAACACAAGCATTAAACTTTTTTTTAGTAAATCAGTGCAATTTGTTATATATATATATATATATATGCATACATATATATATATATACACACACATATGTTTTGTTTTGTTTTTTTCATTTTGGGTGGGCTGGAGCAATAGCACAGCGGGTAGGGCATTTGCCTTGCACGCAGCCGACCTGGCCAACCCGAGTTCAATTCCTCCGCCCCTCTCAGAGAGCCTGGCAAGTTACCGAGAGTATCTTGCCCGCACGGCAAAGCCTGGCAAGCTCCCCATGATGTATTTGATATGCCAAACACAGTAACAATTGTCACAATGGAGACGTTACTGGGCCCGCTCGAGCAAATCGATGAACAACGGAGGACAGTGACAGTGACAGTGCATTTTGGGTCACACCCAGCGATGCTCAGGGGTTACTCCTGGCAGTGCTCAGGGGACCATATAGAATGCTGGGAATCGAATCCAGGTTGGCCACATGCAAGGCAAACGCCCTACCTGCTGTACTATTGCTCCGGCCCCATATTTTTTTACAGTAGTATAACCTCACAAAAACTCACAACAAATCTGGCAGATGCTACGTAATATTTAGCAGGAACCCAAACAGTCCGGTTTAGATTTGGTTTCAAGGTCACTCCCAGAAATGCTCAGGGGCACAGGGCTCTTGGCTCTGTCCTTGTGGGGTATGGGAGAATCTTAGGACATTAAGTAAGATCTAGAAATGATAGCAGGTGCAAAGGCCAATTTATTCATTGTCTTTGCTTTCCTGGCACAGCTCCTTCTGTTTAGAAGTATCCAGTATTTAGAATGGTAAAGGTAAATGGTGGTTTTGTTTGGTTGAGTGTTGTTTTGTTTTGTTTGGGGGCCACATCCATCCTGTGCTCAGGGCTTATTCCTGATTCTGCACTCAGGAATTACTCCTGGCAGAGATCAAGGCACCCTATGGGAGGCCAGGGATCAAACCTGGGTTGGCCGTATGCAAGGCAAACGCCCCACCATGCTGTACTGTCGTTCTGGCCCCGTGGTAAAGTTCTTTGGAGCTTTGGACTAAACAGGAAGCAGTTATACTCAGTTCAGTTTGGAGGCAGTCTGGCCATTTGAAAAGTAGTGCTGGTGGTGAGCCAGGAGGTACGCCAGGGACTCGACCACAGGTCGGAAGGAACCATCCTGCCCATTTACAGACTTGCCCTGTGTTCTAGTCTCAGCTGATCCCTGCAGTTCTGAGTCCTAGAACACTGGGAGTAGTGGAGGTGGTCAGCCTGGGTCTTGCCTGTCTGTATCCCAAGTCTGTCTTTCTGCTCTCCCAAACACATCCCCTCTATATGGTATTTCACTTATTTATTTAAAGAAGGGCCACAATTGGGGGCACCTCCTGGCAGTTGTGCTTAGAGCATGTGCTACCGGGCATGGGACTCAGGGCCTTGCCTATGCAAGCAGGTACCCTCCCACGAGAGCCATCTCTCCAGCCCCTTGTAGGCCTGTGGAGGAGAGGCTCTCAGGGCAGTTTGTCTCCCAGAAGAGCCCCTGCCATGCCAGTGCAGCAGGCATTAGCCCAGGTTGGTCAGGTGCAAGCCCGGATTGGTGCTGCCCCACCCTTGACCCCCTCCACAAGGCTGCGGTAACCAACAGTTTGCCAGTGGCCTGATGGCACTGACGCATTGTCTGCTTCTTCTCGGAGAGGCAGCATGGTTAGCCTCCGAGCCCGGTGGCCCACTGTATTTGTGACCCTCCCACTCTCATCCAACTGCTCTGTGAGTTAAGTCTGTCTCTCCCTGTCGTCCCTGTCGTCCCCATTTCCACACAGGTCCAGTGGGGAGAACTGGGAGTGCTGTGCCCACCTCGGCAGGCTTCCTGGGGATGGACAGAAACGATGAGTCCAGAGGGCTCACGGTTGCGGTGCAGGAAAGACTGTGCACGGAGCTGGCCTCGCTCATCTCTCCCCTTACGGAGACACGTTCCAAATCCAGTGCTTGTGATAGCAGTAGAGCCCCTGGGCGCAATCCCCGGCACCACGTACTACCCCCTGCCCCTGCATTATAGGCTCGCCCATAAGATGGGAGGGCCCCAGGAGCCGAGGCCTGCTAATGTATCTGCTCTTCCTCCCTCTGTGGAAGGCAGGAATGTAAGACAGGACCCCCACCTGAGACCCGTCCTTCTCTTTGCTCAGGCCGCCGGCATGGTTTTGGCCAGCTGATGTTTGCAGATGGCGGCACCTACCTGGGTCACTTTGAGAACGGGCTGTTTAATGGCTTCGGGGTTCTGACCTTCTCGGACGGCTCCAGGTGGGTATTGGCTCACTGTTCTCCCAGTCTTCCGATCTGAGCGTGTGGGTGATGCATCTCTGGTCGGAGCGGAGCTTGGCTCCACCCTCTGAAAACAGCCAGAAGGACGCAGTTCTGTGAGTGACAGCTGTGCACGTGGCTCTAACATTCAGAATGACAGGGAGGAGAGTGACCTGCCATCGCCGGCCCCTCCTCGAGCTCGGGAGGGGTTGGACTTGCTGGCAAGCCGTCCCTCTCCCCAACTTGGAAGCGGGTGGGTAGGGCTGGGGCAGGGCTGGAACCAACTTGGCTCCTATTCCGATGCAGCGTCCTCCTCTCTAGGCTAACAGCATCCCATGTTTCTGCAGGTATGAGGGCGAGTTCGCCCAGGGCAAGTTTAATGGCGTGGGAGTCTTCATTCGGCATGACAACATGACCTATGAGGGGGAGTTTAAAAATGGCAGAGTGGACGGTTTGGGTAAGTTTCACGGGGGTGGGCAGGGGAGTGGAGTGGCCAGTGGGCGGAAGGCCCACCAGCTGCCTCTCGTCCTTCTGGGGCTGGCCAGCCCTGCTTAGTGATGGTGCCCTGTGGCCTCGCCACAGAGCTGGCCCCGAGTTGAGAGCCGAGGGTTTCTTCTTCCTCAGCCTGTCCCTCGGCCGGGCTCTGCGCCGTGGGTGCCCTGCTCAGCCCCTGTCTCTCGTGTCCATCCACCAAGGCCTGCTGACCTTCCCCGATGGCTCCCATGGCATCCCCCGCAACGAAGGTCTGTTTGAGAACAACAAGCTCCTGCGGAGGGAGAAGTGCTCGGCGGTGGTGCAGAGAGCCCAGAGTGCCTCCAAGTCGGCCCGGAACCTCACTGCCTGACCAGCGCAGCGGGGACACGTAACCCTGCTGGGCCGAGAGGCCAGAATGGCCTGGAGCAGACGCTCTGGGTGTGCCCAGCATCTGCCAACGGCCAGTTTGATCCCGGAGGAGTCCTGAGGGTCCTGGCCCCTGGGCCCTGCACCCGTGGTCCCCAGCTCTGTCTTCTCCTGTCCCTGCTCCTCACTGCGGGGGTGACCCACCACCGAACTGTCCTCATACTCTACTTTTTCTTCTGTGCTCATGCAGAAGCTCTTTCTTCTGCCATTCCGAGGGGCAGAGGACACCAAGCCCAGCTTGGGGCCAAGGCTTCGGGCGACCCCGGAGAAGGAAGAAAGGAAAGGATGGGGGGCTCCAACAGCCCAGCAGTCCTGTGTTGGTCAGACCAGAGCTGTCCTCCATGGCCTCAGTATTCACTGCTGCTTCCAGCCCTTCTACTTTGTCTGGCTGGACATGGTTCATCTCTACCCAGGCCCCTGGGAAGGGTACCCGTAAGAGCCCTCATTCCCTTCCTGGCTCTGCAGCTACCGCACGGCCCCACCGGCCAGAATCTCCTCCTGTCCACACAGGCTAGGATCCCTGTACAAGACAGTCAAGAAAGAAGCTGATGGAAGGGGCTGGAGTGATAGCACAGCGGGTAGGGCATTTGCCTTGCATGCAGCCAACCCGGTTCAATTCCCAGCATCTCATATGGTCCCCTGAGCACCGCCAGGAGTAATTCCTAAATGCAGAGCCAGGAGTAACCCCTGTGCATTGCCGGTGTGACCCAAAAAGCAAAAAAAAGCTAATGGAAGTAGTCCTACAAACTGCCGTTATTATACCAGGGCAGAGGCGGGCATCTCTGGACCACTTCAGGCCCTTTTGTGGAGGAAGCACGGAAGTCATCGGGATGGCTCAGTCCAAGCCGGTTCCTTCCCAGTGACTCACCCCAGCCCTCGCCTGGCATTAGGTGGAATTGGTACTGGACTTGGGGGAGGGGGTGGAGGGAGCATTTGGTTCTCTGTAACCTTTCTACCCTGCTCATCACGGAGCCTCCACTTATCCCGTGACCCAGACACACCTCTACACAGCCCAGCCTCTGGCCTCCATGCCCACTGTCTCCTCAAAAGCAGATTGTGGTGAAAATTATAGCCGTGTGCCTCTATTTATTCTCTGTACTGTAGATGTGTTGATAAGGAATAAACAAATCACCAGAACTGCCCACGGTTTTCCTGACTTTCTTGCACTGCATTTCTGAGAGTATTAAACCCTCTGCAAGTCCCAAGACTTCTGTAAGGGGAGTTTCCTTCTCTCTCTCTCTCTCTCCTTTTTATGTTGGCTTCTTTTATCCAAAGGGACAGAAATGAATCAGGAAGATCTGTATCCTGGTCTTCTGATTCCAAAAGCACGTTCCCTTGTACAGCTCTCACACCGAGCATCCAAGTACCTGAGACCAGATACTGTCGGATCCACAGAACCGGGAGGCAGTTCAGCCCTGGCCCGGGTTCTCCCACTCCAGAGCAGGTAGAGAAACAGGCCCTGCATGTGTGATGTGCCGCATGCATTTCCAGACCTCTACCAGACGTGGCATCAACACCCTGAGAGGGTGTTGATGACAACAATCCAATGTTGTTACTTCACATTAACCGTGATGCTCACGGCACTTAACGTCATTGTCCCCATGCTCCCATGCACATACAGATCCAAGAATGCAGACTCAGGCTAGCTGGTGCTGCTTGGCACACCTCGCCAGTGTACTCAGCCCTGTCGCCACAGTTAAGTGCCATGTCCCTCCACCTGCCTATCCTCAAAGCCCAGACCCTCATCCTGCCCCCCTCCCACCACCACAAGGGCCTGCAAGAAGAGTCCAGGTTGTAAGCCCAAGCTTCAGAGCCACCTGGACACAGGCTTGAGGGCTAATATCTCTGTATTCCCTCCCACTGTTCTAAACCATTCGATTAAAGGAAAAAATGACCTTTGTTCATAATCACCATTTGCTAAACCTCAGGCTTTCTGCTACTAACTCAATATCATGAAATAAAGATTGAATGTTGAGCATCCGAGTTGAGACCAGTTGCTGTTACACCTGCAGTCACCAGTCAACTCCAGAGCACATGCTTCGTACACAGGAGCACTGCTTCGATGCCCAGATACGCATGTTCCTTGAACGTCACTGCACCAGGAGTATTTCTACACTGCCAGGCATGGCCCCCAAACAAACAAACAAAAATAAATAAAAAAACAGCAAAAATGCTAAACGCTTTGCAGATGCCAGCCGGGTGGATGAATATGTTAATTATTTCTAAATACACCCATTTCAAACTTAAAAACAAGTCTTTCCCAGAGCCACCATTGGCCTCTGTTTCTGTGTTTGCTCACTATTGCTAGGGCCTCGGAGCTGGGGAAAAGCGGCTTTGTTGTCTCTGGGCAGGTTCTTTGTGTGTGTGGTGGGGGGGAGGGCTCCCAAGAAATGCCTAGGAGTCCTGGGGTGATTCTTGACCAACTGAGCCAGCAATGTAAGGGCCCGAGGATGTGGTGCCGTTTGATATCTGCAGTGCTAAGGATCAGCAGGCCATCCTGGTGGTGCCCAGGGGCCTCTAGGTTGCACCTGTGCAGTGCCAGGGTTATTTAGCTGCATGCCCTTAGCCCCTTTACTATCTCTCTGGCCCCAAGGCAGTTTTTATTTTTATGGTGTTTTTTGTTTGTTTTACCACACGCAGCTGTGCTCAGGGCTTACTCCTGGCTCTGCACTCAGGGATCACTCCTAGTGGGGCTCAGGGGACCATATTAGGTGTTGGGGATCAAACCTGGGTCAGGCCATGTAAAAGGCAAGCACCCTACCCACTGTATTATCACTCTGGTTGAGTAAGGCAGATTCTTGACATCTGGTCAGGACCTCAGATTCATTTAGCAGGGTGATGTCCATCTGTCCATGGCCACACTGGTTTAAGTTATTAAACTTTATTGCAGTAACAAAGTCATCATTTTAACAATAAAAGCAGAGTGATTGTAGGGAGACATTGGCCCACCCTCAGACCAGGTCCCTTTCCCCTAATGTTTCAGACCAGGCTGCTGAGGTTAGTGGTCGAGAATGCTGTATTTGGCCACCAGGTGTCATGAGTGACCAGTTCTGGAAGGCCACAGGGCTGCCACCAGGTGCTTGAGGGCTGAGATCCAGAGGAGAGACAAGGAGATGCGGTAAATCAAAATAGATTTAAGAAAGGGCACTGGAATGTGACTGGGAGCCTTTCAAAGGCCTGGGACACTTTCTGACCCGCTTTTTCATCCTCCCCCATCCCCTGGAAGGAGGCAGAACTTGGGTTCTAAGGAGCAGCCCAGCTACCAGCCTGGGTGCCCTGCTCAACTCCAAGTTGACATTTTCCCCCCACAGAAAAAAGGCACGGCCTGCCTGGGCCCACCTGCCTCTCAAGCCCACAAGACTTGGGGCAGGAGAAAGCACAGGGAGAGTCCAGGAAGAGGGACTCCTTCCCAGAAGTGAGGTCTCTGAGGGCCCAGAGTGTGGGGCACAGATGTCAGAGGTCGTGGGCTGGGAGCAGGAAGTGAGCATTCGAGGCAGAGCCTGCTGAGGAATTACTGGGGGACAAGAGGGAAGCAGCCCTGCCCTCCTACCCCCCTGCCACCATGTTCCTCTTTGGAAGGCAGGCGCAGGACGGGCGGTAGAGATGTGCTCAGCCGGGCAGCCCCTGCTCACAGCTGGCTCACAGCCAGCCGTTGTTGGTGAAGTCCATGCGCAGTGCCTCCTCCTGGCTGGCACTCAGCTCCTGCAGGGGGGCCCGGCAGGGGCCTCCATAGTAGCCAAACCAGTCCATGGTTTTCTTCAAGCCCGGGATCCCGAAGCGCCGGGTCACCTGAGAAACAGGGTGTGTGAAAAGAGACCCAGCGCGGGGTCCCAGGCATGAGTCCCTTCCCTCCAGCTCCCCCAGGGAAAGTGAAACATTGGGGTGACTAGGAGCCCAGTACGAGAGAGCAGAAGGCAGACAGCTAGCAGGAGGCCAGGGGCTCCAGGTAAGGGCAGGAGGCACCTTCATTGATTTTCTGAGAAAAAGCCTCCCATCAGGTAGGAGCGTAGCGTTTAGTTCCCAAGCTGGGGGGCAGAAGGCAGCAATGCTGGGGCTCTGGGGCCTAGGGGATCCCTATTCCACAGCCCCAATCCTCGGAACCAGGCCTGGGAAGTCAGGCGTAGAAGGGCAGAAGAAGGGACTGTGAGAGTCAGGGGCAGAGCCCAGAACTCGACTATTCACATCATCACCTTTTACCCTGAGCAAATTCTCTCTGCTCTGCAGAACAAGGGGGCTGCAAAACAGGGATCCCTGGAGTTTCTTTGTTCTAATTAGCCTTAAGAAGCCTAACGTTACTGTCATCATTGGAAATCATACATGGAATTTTTTTTTTCTTTTTGGGTTACACCTGGCGATGCGCAGGGGCTACTCCTGGCTTTGCGCTCAGGAATTACCCCTGGCAGTGCTCAGGGGACCATATGGGATGCTGGGAATAGAACTTGGGTCAGCCACGTGCAAGGCAAACACTCTACCCACTGTGCTATTGCTCCAGCCCCCATACATGGAGTTTTTAAACAGGAAATAAAAAGCATCAGATATCTCTGCTTTTGGCATAGTTCAAGAATGAATTCTCAACTATTTAAAAATTAAGAAAATAATTCTTACTTAATAAAAGTTTGTTTGGGACATGTCGAACCTTAAGAAAACAGGTAACTGGGGCATGGGGGAAAGTCGGTGAAAGAAGGTGGTATGGCGTAAAACGTTGGGAATCCTTAGGAAGGAAGGGAGAGAGACAGCTTCCGCAGAAGGAATCTTCTCTAGGAGTGGGTGGGAAGTGATGCTCCTCCCAGGTCTGCTCCCAGCCATGTCCCAGTAACCTCTACCCGGGCACGGATGCTGGAACTATCTAGAGAGAGCTTTCTCCCCCCAGAGGTATGTGAAGATCTCTGGCTTGGCCCCTTTTCAGAGCTGAGAGAGGATGGATCTCCTTGGTGTTAAAGGTTGTGGAAAGTCCTAAATATAGCAGGGGCGGGAGGCACATTGCAAGCACATTGTGTTCAAGCAGGGCAGGGCAATAGGGTGACATCAAGCTGCCCTGGGGGTGTCTGAGTCGACAGTTCAGGCAGCAGAAAGGTGTTCCAGGCATTCCTGAGTGTGAGCTCAGCACTGGCACAGCAGGGCAGAGGAGAGGAGCAGGACAGGGAGGTACCCTCTGTACCCTGTGGGGGCCTGTGAAATAGTAACATCAGCCTTAGTCCCAGGGCTGAGAGGAAGAATAGGCTGTCCTTCCACCATGCCCAAGAGCCCTGGGAATGCCTCCTCTTTCTGTCCTGGTGGTTCTGGAACCTTCTGCCTCCCAGGTGGACAGGAGTCAGGGAGTGCAGACCCACCCAGTGGAATGTCCAACCTGGACCCAGAGGGGGCTCTGCTGGAAGATC